CCTTGCCATAGCTTATGGTTAGTTCCATGCTGGCAATGTCCTATTCATGGCCCCACAGTTCTCCCTTTGGAAAAGCTTTATATACCCATGGATAAACTCTCTAATAAATCCCAATTATAGGTTCTCTGGGAAGGCTGATAAACTTCCTTCTCCCCACATCTCAATGGCTTATCTCTATTCCAAAGCCCAATGCTGGAGGGGAGAAACAAACAAGTATTTCAAACAGGATAGTGGAAGGGAATCTAGATATAATCAAATGGGCCTTCCAGAAGAGAGTGACTGGAGACCAGCCCACCACCAGTTAGCCACAATGAAATCTGTATGCTAGAAGACACTGGTACCTTCCTGTGTTTGGAACTGACTCTTTGTCCCAGCTTCCTCTTTGATATCTTAACCCATTTTAGTGATAAGCTCCTCAAAAACAAAGCAGGTCTAATTTCTCTCTCACTCTAAAGAGATTTATCTCCAATCAGTGGGTGAGCAAAAATATACAATTATATGTAAATCTCATGAAACTAATCACTGCAGCTACCCAAGAACCCTCTAGTTCCCAGTCTCACCAACAAGAAGATGGCCACTGGAGGGAGAATTTGTTTTCAATTTTTATATTCTGACACTACATAACTTAAGACCACATTATCAGGGAAGAAACTGGCAAAAATCACAAACCTGGGAAAAGCAGCCTTCAGGGTTTATAAGCCTTAAGATAAATTATTAGCACAGTTAGCTATATGAAGAGCTATGAGTAAGGAAAACCCAGTTAATACTATAGTAGAGAAAGAAGATGTATTAAGATTAACAGGGATACAAGATGCTTATATTTTCTTCTGCTATTAATGAATAAGTAGTAACACATGCTCCTCACATTCCCAGGATGGGAGAAGAGTATATAAACCACATTCTAGTTTTCTGCTTAGTGGCTGGGTTTGTTTGTTTGTTTTTAAATACTTGCCTAGGTGGATTTCCTATAACTTCCTAAAGTATCAAGTTTCATTTTCCCAAATGTGCCAATATTTGAAAACAAAATAAAATAAAAAACAAATTCAAATTAGCTACTTCAGTGAGCACTGTAACCCTAGACCCAGACTTAAGTTTTTACCAAAACTAATGTCCTATGACCAATATATGTTAACTGATCTGGCCTCCCATCTATTCCCTCTACCCATCCCTCTCACTCCTTCACAGATCCTGTCCTACACCAACAGGACTTACAACACTCTTTCTCTTGGGAGGCATGGAAAAGTTCAGGGGGTGGGGGTGGGGGGGAAACAGTCAAACACAAGACTGAAAACCTAGCAGATGATCAATCAGAACCAATCAGGCAGAGGTTATTTATCTACATTTTGTTTTGTTTGAGGGGTGGGAGGTTTCTCAGCCCATAGTCACCAGGAGGTTTATACAAGAAAAGGCATGCCATTCTATCCTTAAATAATCCAAAGAGTTGGAGGGGACAATTTACAGCCTCTTGTGTAAAAAATGTCTATAAATGCCAATGCCATTCTTTGCCCCGTCACTTCCCATTATCCTAAACCAACAGGATTCTATTCACTGAGACTTGAGCTGAAAACATGAACGGACAGGCCTTTCTTGGGCAGGGCAAAAGAGGGAAGATGATTGGGGGTGGGGGTAGATAGATTTCTTTAAGTTTCTGTGTAATGCCTAATGTGTATAGTACACTAGTGGAGCTAAAAACTGATATATGCATAGTCATGCAAAAGTCAGCCTAGGAAGAAAAGTTGAGACTCAGTATCCTCAAATGTGTAATATGTACAAGCAAATCTAAAATACAGAGATAATCAAATTATGAAAGTTAAAAAAATTAATCATAAATACCATTATCTATGGCTTACTTCCTCTCATACACTTTCTCTTCATCATATATACTGGTCTGCTATAAAATCTGCTAAAGAGACAGCAGCAAGCAATCAAGGTCTTAAGGTGGACCAAGTAAACACATACCCTGTGACATGGAGATGACAGCAAGTAGGTTACTCCTTGTACTCTTTAGGATACTAGGATGAAGAAGAGACATCTCCACACCATCTACTAACATACCACTATTGGCATCATATCTAAGTGAATGAGATCTGTGCCAAATTACGTAGGAGGATTCTGTACTAGAACCTAGGATCCTAAAATAAAGTGGATAAAGTGTGCTGATCTGGTTGTTCCATAAATACAAACAATCATATCACAACCTTGGCCAACCAACCAAATACTAGGTAACAAATCATCTCTGGTGATAAAGAACAGTTAAACATAAGACCAAACCAGGCAACTCTCACCAAAAACATGTCCAATTTGCAATTTCAAGATTTGGATCTAGGATACTAAGTTGTCCAATTTGCAATTTCAAGATTTGGATCTAGGATACTAAGTTCTGGAAAAGAAGTTACTTGGTGAACAAAAAAGAACACTTTTTTAAATCTTACTTCTATTCCTCCAATTTCTCTCCTTCTACAGATTCAGTCTAAAACTGCTTATATTCTCCAAGTATTAAAAAATTCTGGGCTACAAAAACAGTAATTCAATTTATGTAGTCTGACAAAGGAATCCCATGCTACTTCCAAATGTAAAAGCTGTGTGAGAGATATAAACTAGACTTGAGTAGTTCAATAAATGTGGTTATTTAAATTAATTAAAAATTCAGTTCCTCAGTTATACTAGCTACATTTTAAGTGATCAACAAACACACGTGGCTAATTACTACTATATTAAATAGTAAATTATTCAATAGAACAATAGTCTATAGAATACTCCCATTATCACAGAAAGTTCTATTGGACAGTAGTGGTCTAGACAGCAAAATATCTACATTTCTGGGACATTTTAATGGTTTACGGGGAAAATTAGAGCAAGCTATTAAAATTAGGATGATCCTGAAAATCAGGATTTAGGATCAATGTGTATGGAACCTATACTCAAAAGATGGCATCTCAAAAAAATCACAAACCTCCAAGCAGAGTGGTACCTGGTACCCAGAGTAAATCATATACTCTAATACAGTGCTCAAAATGTGGTCTGCCTCCTGGTGCTGTCCCCAAACTGTTTGTTACCAGTCTGCAGTATAAGTCCAAAAATTGAGTGTTTAGACATTTCCAAAGTAATTTAACACTGGTGTGCCATTTTTATTGTATTTTATACAAGTACCACTTTGCAATAAATTGAAAATTTAAAAAAGTTAGTCTTTGTCACAGAATCTGAGAAATACCATGCTAGAACATGTGTGTGACATGAATAGGATCAGAGAAGAGAGCTCATATGGTCAGAGTTCTGCCAATTACCATTATCTAATTGTAACCCGTTAGAGATTTAAAATGAGAATTGAAATCTTCTCAATGATGAAATAAAACACCAAAGTTAACTGCCTAAATTAAAGTCATAAAGCCAGTTGGCCAACAGAACTGAACTAAGAGCGAGCCCTGGCCGGGTGGCTCAGTTGGTTGGAGCATCATCCTGTACACCAAAAGGTTGCAGTTTCAATTCCCAGTTAGGTCAGGGCACATACCTAGGTTGCGGCTTTGATCCCCAGCCAGGGCGCAAACAGGAGGCAACAGATCAATGTTTCTCTCTCACATCGATGTTTCTCTCTCTCCAAAATCAATAAACATATCCTTGGGTAAAGATTAAAAAAAGAAAAGAAAAAGAAAACTAGTATTTATTGAGGGTCAAAGTGTCACTATGTTAAGAATTTCGAATACACAATTAATTACTCTTCACATAGTGTTAGGTATTACTCCCATTCTTATAGATGTGGACCAGATAAATTTAGTACTTTGCTCCTAGTCACAAAATAAATTAAGGTATACCATGTTTTACCCAGTCTCCTGTGGACTGAAAATGAAATCAGGTCAAATATGGAAAAAGACTCTAGGGAAGGATAGAAAAAGCTGATATCCCTGTAATGAAATGTTATCAAAATAACTCAGGTGGACAGTATAGGTGAGGGACAAATTCCTTTCAGGAATGTGTCCACGTGAGCTGAGTAACAGGAGGTATGATGTTCTATTTAGTTAATTTTAATGGAACACACAAACACACATAATTCCCCAGAAGAGTGAAATTACTACTGAGATTCTTAGACACCTAGCCCTCATATACAAAAGAAGATAAGAACCAGGGCCACAGATCCAAGGAACCCTTTCTGGGCTATCTAGCAAACACAAATGACTTTGGATTTATAATCATTCTTCCCAATTAACCTGTATGTGGTTTAAGAATCACATACTCTGCCTACACCTCAACACCAAATTTTTAAAAATTTCACATAGACCAGCAAATACTTCTACTGAATACCTATGGTCTCAGCATCAAGCTGGGCACACAGAGCTGATGTTATATTTCTGGTAAACATCAAATATATAACCTGAAGGGAAGATGAAACACAGTTGTAAGCAAAGTTATGAGTCCTATAGGAGCACAAATGTTTACTTTTTAGTGTTGTTTTTTTCCTAAGCAAAAATATAACTACTGTCAGGTCAATTTTTCCAATGAATTTCCAGAGAAGTCAGTATTTCCATATGCAAATGGGAAATAATCATTAAAAATTTATTTATTTATTTATTTTTAGAGAGAAGGGAAGGGAGAAAGGAAGAGAGGGAGAGATACATTATTTGGTTGCATTTCACATGCCCCCTGCCAGGGACCTGGCCTGGAACCCAGGTATATGCCCAGGTATGTGCCCTGACTGGTAATTGAACAGGTGACCCTTCAGTCCACAGGCTAGAGTTGATCCACTGAGCCACACCAATCAGAGCTAATCATTTTTTTCAATGATGGTTTTTCTGGTTTGAAACATTCTTCCTTATAGAGTATGCTCAAAAAGCCTGAATAGAAGCTATGAAAGCAATCTGGAAACAATTAGGTTTGTGAAACAATTCCTGTAATGTATTCAACAGCCAGTGAAGAGATGATGGTCAAGGACTGTGTAAAACAAAGTGTTATACTTCTTGGCCTAGTAGCCCCTAAGATGCTCTAATGTTGCAAAAACAGTACTTTACCTTTCTGGAGATTGAAGAGACATTCAAACCGAATCTTTGAGCTCTTTCCTTTAGCTTGTCCAGGTTAACCTACAAAACACAGGGGGAACCAAACAAAACAAAACAAAACAAAACAAAACCCACCTGTATTAAAAAATCAAAACAGAAAGTACAGAAGGCAGAAACTATGGTCCACAGATAAGAGTTTAAATAAGACTACAACATTAAAGATACCCCATGTGCTAAATCAGGAAACTAAGCAGCAACCACCCATGCCACTAATTATTAAAAGGCCTTTTCTGGAATATAGTGAAAGATTCAGCCCTGTCTCCTTCATTCATCAAAGGTAGTAAGAACCTGAGGAGGGGATTTAAAATCGAAGTAGGAAAATACTGCTGGAAAAAACAAACAATTGTCTAAATCATCGCCTCCAAGCACGTCCACCATTCACAGTCAAAAATCATTAATTCCTATACAGTCTATACAAATAGTTCTTGATTCTACCTCCCGGCAAAAAGAAATTATCTCTACACATCTACTTTCTTCAGAAGACACATCTACCACTGAACTCCACTCATTTTTTTTTTCATTTTTCTTGGAAGCTTTGATATATCATGCCTTATTATCATAAGGATATTTGGGACTTTTTTTTTTCCCCATTAAGGTAGGTAAGGGCTATTTTGAATGATTAGTGTTTGTAACTGCCAAGGTTACTATGTACAGGTAAAAGAAGTGAGGCTTTATTTCTTGGTCTCTTTCTGCTTGGACAGTGTCCTGATGGTCTACTTCTTGACCTGAAGCCATTCTACATGGTGCTTGTATGCTTCCTTGTTCTTACACCTGTAGGTCTTAGCCTGGTTAGCCAGAAATTTCTGTGTGCCTTGTCTGTCTTTAGCTTGCGAATGTGTTCCATAAGAATCCACTTAAAAAAAAAAAAAAAGCTTTTATTATTTTAAGAGAGAAGAAAGGAAGAGAGGGAAAGAAACACCCACTGGTTGCCTCTCACACCCCTGCAATTGGGGGACCTGGCCCACAACTCAGGCCCAGGAATGTGCCCTGACCAAGAACTGAACTGGCGACCTTCTGGTTGGCACTATGACACCCAACCCACTGAACCACATCAGTCAGGGCAAGAATCCACTTGTTCTTTATCATGTTACCTCTCACTTTCAGGTACAGGCTGTGATATATGTGGTGGTCAATCTTCTTAGATTAACAGTATCTTCTGAGCAGTGGGCAAAGAATTCTCATCCTCCTCATCCAGGTTACTTCCTCAGGCATTCAAGCACTGGCAGTGTACCGCCTGCCTTACCTCACCCATATACCTGCCCTTCTTACAGGCCAAGGTGTTTTCCTGGCATCAAGTCCAGAAATGGAGAATCACAGACTTCTAGATGATCAGTCCATCTTTGACCAGCTTATGAATCTGATCATGGGAGTTGGCTTTGGTGATTTCACTGATCTTACTGGAGTTCAACCTGACCTTCTTTTGCCAGCAAAAGACACTAGAGGTAAGCCTCTTGTGAAGCCTGAGCATACTCATCAATGAGGCCGCAACGGCAAAAGTATTTTAGATATTTTCATTCAACTGTAACCACAAGAGCAAGATTCCATAGAACTGAATATATTTCACCACACCATCTGTTTCCATTTTCTAAACATACTTGCTAGTCACAATGGCCCAAAAGTGTCTTATTCTACGTAGTCTTTATCTTCTGATTTTACATTTACTAGGGAGCATTTAAAAATACCACTATCTATAAATAGAATTCATTAAGTTGATTAAGTTGCTTTCACAGATTCTCTTATGGTAATTAAGAACTAGACATTATCCAAAGCCATTTGATAAGACCTAAAACTCCAGTACCATAAAACATAGTGTTACATGGGCTGTGTCTTCTAACAAATCTATTCATTTTTTCAAGAGGAGTGGTAGAAAGATTGCTATAGCATTTTTGAAGATGTGGCAATTTTCCTGACCTCTAAGTATCTCAAACAATTCTTTTTATTCAGGACATAAAACACTACTGAAAAAGATCACCAAGCTCATATGATCTGAGTTTCCTCTGACCTGCAGAAAAGGAGGAGTGTCTAACTTTAAAACTAACTGCATAGAGTTAAGCTTTGGCTCTAAAGGTATAAAAAAAGGATTCTTACCATAGGCTTGGTGTCAGATGACAGGCCTAAAAAAGAAAAAGGTTTTATTTAGTATTTTAAAAAGTCATAAAGGAAGTTCAGAGTCATCAAATCAAATTAGCACAGAAATAGTTTATAAGACAAATGTCTTTTATGGCGAGAAAGGAAAGACAAATTGCATCCAGAGATCGTATCTGCATTCACCAAGAACATAATATAGCCACTATGGAAAGCAGCTTGGCAGTTCCTCAAAAAGTTAACATGAAAGTTTATCATATGACTTAGCAATTCCATTCCTAGGTGTCCAGAAAAAAAGATACGAAAACATACATCCTCATAAAAACTTATATATGAATGTTCATATACAAGCATTGTCCATAGTAGCCAAAAAGTGAAAACAACCCAAATGTCCATCAACTGATGAATAGATAAAATATGGTATATCCATACAACAGAATATTATCCAACAAAAAAAGAAATGAGCCCTGGATGGTGTGGCACAGTGGACTGAGTGCCAGACTATGAACCAAAGGGTTGTTTGGTTGATTCCCAGTCAGGGCACATGCCTGGGTTACAGGCCAGGTCCCGGGAGGGGTGGGGGGGGGAGGAGGGCATGTGAGAGGCAAACAGATATGATATTTCTTTCCTTCTCTTTCTCCCTCCTTTCCCACCTTTAGAAATAAATAAAAATCTTAAAAACAGAGAGAGAGAAAGAAATGAAGTACTGACACATGCTACAACATGAATGGACCCTAAACATATTATGCTAAGTGAAAGAATTTAGTCACGAAAAAACATGAATTGCATGGATTCATTTACATAAAGGTAAATTTACAGATATAGAAAAAAAATCAGTGGTTATTTGGGGGAAAGGGTGAAAAACAACTGCTAATGGGTATAGGGTTTCTTTTTTGGGTAATGCCTATGTCCTAAAATTAGACTGTGATAATGGCTGCACAACCCTATGAACAAAAAAACCAAAACACAAAAAAAGCACATTATATATTTTAAATGAATGAACTGTATGGCATATAAATTATATCTCAATAAGGCTATTAAAAAAAGATAAAAATGGCATATCTGGAAAAAAGAGCAGAGTTACTATCATTGAGTTAACATTATGGCCTCCTTAAGAAAATGTTCTGTACAGAAATTATCAAAGTAAGTAGTACATTGGCCTATAGGATCAATCCTAATCTGGTCAATAATTATTTATTTAACCTGGCTGGCGTAGCTCAGTGGATGGAGCGCGGGCTGGGAACCAAAGTGTCCCAGGTTCGATTCCCAGCCAGGGTACATTCCTGGGTTGCAGGCCATAACCCCCAGCAACCGCACATTGATGTTTCTCTCTCTCTCTCTCTCTCCCCCTTCCCTCTCTAAAAATAAATAAATAAAATCTTAAAAAAAAAAATTATTTATTTAAAACTTTTAAAATTTCATTTTAACCAATCTTAATTTTGTAATTGGTTCCCTAATACTGTAAACTTTTTTTTTTTTAATTGAAAGAGAGAAAAAGAAACACCAATGAGCGAGATACATGGATTGGTTGTCTCTCACAAGTCCCCATCCTAGGAGGACCAGGCATGTGCCCTGACTGGGAATTGAACTAGTGACCTTTCTCTGTTAGTAGAATGGCACTCAACCCACTGAGCCACACCAGCCAGAGCCAACATTTTATGTATGGATTCAACTTTTACCACAAACCGTGTGGTAGGAACTATTAGGTGTTTTTATGTTCTCATTCATAAAACTCTAACTCTTTTTAAATATTCTATTCTTTTAAGAGCTACTCTATAGTTCTATGATGTCAGAATTATACAATAATGCTGTAAATGCCCCATATACATTATTTTATCTTTCTTGATCAGGGTTCCTTTTCAGACTAGGAATTAATCTGAACTTTTCTTCTTTCTTCAAATAGTACCATCTAATGTCTAATCATTTTTGTTGTACTATCACCAATCCTATTTTATCTCTTGATATAACTAAAGGCCAGAAAGTATCTTATTTCTAAAACATAGAGTGATAGCAGCCAGAATTTTGCTGGTCTTTTAAAAAAGCAGAGCAAAACACTGTAAAATCTTTGGAGGGAATTTTCTTAACATACTTGGAACTACTAATAGGTCACTAGGAAGACTGGATTGCATTCGGAGACTACATTTAAATTTTAGGTCTCTTAGAACAGGGATTGATTATTTGGTTTTATTTTTTAAAAGATTTTATTTACTTATTTTTAAAGAGAGGGGAAGGGACGGAGATGGAGAGGGAGAGAAACATCAATGTGCGCTTGCCTCTCAGGCTCCCCTACTGGGGAACCTGGCCCATAACCCAGGCACTTGCCCTGACTGGAAATTGAACCAGCAACCCTTTGGTTTGCAGGCTGGCACTCAATCCACTGAGCCACACCAGCCAGGGATGATTATGTGATTAAAAAAAACCCTTTTTTCCTAATTTATAACAAAATGCACATTCACTGTAGAAATTCTAAAAACACAGAAAGAAGTCAATCAAAACTCTACCTACCAGACATAATGAGTATTAACAATTTAGTATATATCCCTTTAATCTTTTTTCCTTGCCATATATGCATTTTTATTACTAAAATGGGAACACACTGCAAACTGTATAACCTGCCTTTTTCACTTAGTATATCTTTCTGACAAATATTCTTTTTTTAATTTTAATTGTTGTTCAAGTACAATTTTCTGCCTTTTACTCCCATGACAAATATTCATCCATATAATTTTTAACATCTGCATGGTCTTCCACTATACTATTGTATACATTTAACCAACTTTCTACTGTATATCACATTGTTTCCAGTTACTGACCACTATAATTAATGCATCATCATCCTTGTGGCTAAGTTTTAAAAGTATATCCAAGATTATTTCCTTGTAAATTCCTAAGAAGTTAAGATGGTTGAGGTAAAAAAGGACTCTCTGTCGCTTTACCACCACACTAGACAGTATAACACCGGACAGGCACACACTAATTATATGCTGATCTGAGACACCAGAATAAGCAAGGTCCTAGAAACTCCTCTGAAAGTGTCTAAGAAAAGGAAAACAAATGTTGGCACGTCTTCTTATTCTCATAACTTCGGTACCTTCTCTAAATTGCCCAGGAAGGCTTAATTATAGTTTTACCTAAAGCAAAGAGGTAAATGTTATAACCTCTTTTTAAAAGGCTTCTAGAGCTAACAAGTTTACCTTAATGAGGAGAAATAAAATCTGTTAAGCTAGAAAATAAAACTGTAGTGGTAACTTTCTCAGAAGAGTCTCTGGATGCTTACCTTTTGATGGAACTGAAGAAATCCCAAATCTGTAGAAAGAAAAACAAGCTCAGTTTTAAGAAGCCGTTCACACTCCTGGTCTCCGTGTCAAGTGTACATATGGCACTTCTTGCTTGTGATCTCAAGCCTTGCAATCATTAGCTAATTCTAACAAGCCCATGAAAGAAGTCTCTTTTACTTTTTCTCACCAAGAGTCCAGATAAGGTAAAAAGAAGCCTTAACAGAATTGGGAGCAGTTCCTGACTTTTACCTATTACAAACCCCTGCTTGATAATAAAACCCATCTACAGCAATGATCCAAATCAATAGAGTTCCATCAATGCAGCCAAAACAAAACAGTGTTTCTTTTCAGCAAGGCCTATATCCAAACTAAAGTCAACAATTGGATTTAAACCCTGGCTGGTGTGGCTCAGTGGGCTGAGTGCCAGCCTGCAAACTGAAAGGTTGCTGATTCAATTCCCAGTCAGAGCATGTGCCTAGGTTGCGGGCCAGGTCCCCAATTGGGGGAATGCAAGAGGCAACCTATCAATGTTTCTCTAGCACATCAATGTTTCTCTCCCTCCCTTCACCTCTAACAAATAAATAAAATCTAAAATAAATAAATAAATAAATAAATAAATAAAGCCAACAATTATATTTCAAACCCAGGATCACAGCCCTTCACCTTCATACCAGTGCTATCTCAGGTCTGAAAGGCTGAGGACACTCACCTAGCTGCCCGGGCAGCTTTCTTACTCTCCAAACTCACAGGTACATTGAATCGTTCAGCTCTCTTCTGCATTCTCTAAGTGATAATGGACAAAAGAAGGGGGAAAAATTTCAATTTCTGGATTCCTACTTTTAAGAGAAAAGTTGTTTAGAGGTGTGTATATTTAGAACATCAGAAGTAATTTCTTAAGGTCTAAACTGAGAATACTAACAATCCTAGAAGATATTAGGTTATAACCATCTGAGGACTTAACAGACTTTTCCAAAAAGCAAACACAAAAAGACTATTATTACATTCATATCCTCAAAAACAAAAGAGAAGGAATAAAATAAAACCCACATTCTTCATGAAGCCAAGAAGACAAAAAGCTATGTCCAACTGACCTTTGAAAAGGGATCAAAGGAACAGCCTGGTTCCAACACTGGTGGTACTCTTTTAGTTAGAAATGAGGCAGTGTTGTCCCATGCCATCTTTACTTTAAAGGTACAAAAAACAACACAGATCTCAAGTGGAACCTAATTTCAAAGATCTTAAGACAGAATCCAGAGAAATTTCAATCTTACCAACAAGTGATTTGTAACTTAAAAGTGTATCTTCACTTTCTACTTTTCATCTCTTCCACGGTACAATCCCCCCAGACTCCAATCCTAGTTTATAAACATCCTAAAGAAACCACTAAGACCATAGTTCTATATATATAAAAAAAATAGGGCTTCAAAGGTATTTATGCTAGTCCAAATATTTTCTCAAGTGTAGCTGGTGGAAAAATATATCAATAGCAAAATCTGTCAATACTGATTATCTACCTATGAGTAAAGTTTTTAAAGTGGTGATACAGAGAGAAGGGTAACAAAACTGAAAGACATACAGAGAGACTGCTCTTCTACCAGGGAGCATAATACCTACCTCAGTCTGTGGTATTTCAGATGTAATTTTTACCACTTTCTTTTCTGACGCCCTGGAGAAGAGGAAAGAGATTTTTTAAATTAGAAAACTGATGTTCTAACCCCAAACTTTAGAATTGTATAATAACTTAACCAAATCATGTCCTCTGCCCCATACCTCTCTGCCACCCATTAGTTCAAAAAACCATGAAGCCAATTATACCTTCAGTTGCTAGGACTGTCACCTATTTATAAGAGTTCACTAACAGACTAAGCTACACTGCTAAAGCATATGGAAGTTATTCAGAAAGAAAGCTGGTTAAATACATTGGACTGAAGGGAAGTATTCAAAGGATACTGGAAACCATTTGATTTACTTTTAGGAACTTTAAATTTACTTCTGGACTAATAACTATTTCTCCAACACTCATTTAAATACCAGCTCTCAACTTTCATCACAGAAACAATTAATGTGTGCTCTACAAGCTCTTGTTTTTTTCTTTAACAAATCCTTTATTCTTCCCATGAAGACTGTAGCTTCAGCTAGAACAGTGAAAGTGGGACAAATAAAAATGCCAAAAGGAATGGGGAGAAAAAAGGCTAAGGGAGTCTGAATTAGGAAACATGTTAAGTTACCAGTCAAAGGCTTAAGAGAAAACAAAAGAGGGGGACCATAGGGGCGGGAGACAAAGTTCAGAAGTACCCAGGATAAATGGAAGGGCATTAACCTTCCACCAAACAACTCCCATAAAACTGTGGGTCATAACCAGTCTCATTAAGGTCCCTCATTTAGAGACATAGGCGGCTTTTGTTCCAATATCCCAGACACTTTTCCCATTTGACGCCCTCAAAGGTAGTAATGGTTTAATGGCATTTTCAGAGGAAGCAATTCTGGAACAGGAACTTACTCTCTCTTCCATCCTTTTGTTGAATGTCCCAGAACTGACAAATAAGCGATGGGTGCCCCCTGCTGACCATAACTAAGTCATACAATATTTAACTGATTTAACAAGGAAATACAAAAAAATCAAACGAAACAGAAATATTTTTGGAGATCCTCAAACCAAAGATGACACAAGGGGACCTCCTTTTGAATGTTCAAAGGACCTAAATCATCCCTAAATATTCTGACTTTTAAAGAAATTTCTGAATTCTTCCCATTTCCTGGTCACTCTTCCTTCCCCAACCTTCTGTCTTGTGAAGCAAAAAGGGACACTGAAGTTTAATGTTTTTCTTGAAGTCCAATGCCATTAAGAAAGCAGTTCTTTCTACCAACTCCACATTAATGACTTCCTTCACATTCCTGTCTTAAACCACAATCACTGCAGTATACCTCAGCAAAAAGGGAACCCCAGAGAGGAAGCCTCCTCCTGCTTCATTCTAATGCCCTCAGGCACAATTAAGCACAAGCAATAAAAACACATCACATTCTGGGACTCAGGAGAAATTTCATTTTTTCACTGAGAAATTTCTCTCCAACCCATAGTCATATACAAAACACTACACCTAAACTAAAGGGATCCAGATATTTTAGTCTAACCATTACTTCCCTCTAAAACACAAAATCACCAACCCTACACACATTCAACTTCCCTGTTTTAGAAATTCATTAATAAAATTAAAACCCTTTAAACAAATTATACATTTTACATATTCAAAGGGTAATGAACTTCTACAAATTTTTTTGATTTCATTATTTTTATTTTTTAAAATATTTTTTAAAGATTTTATTTATTTTAGAGAGGGGAAGGGAGGGAGAAACAGAGGGAAACATCAATGTGTGGTTACCTCTCACACACCCCCTACTGGGGACCTAGTCCACAACCCGGGCATGTGACCTAGACTGGGAATTGAACCAGTGACCCCCTGGTTTGCAGGCCAGCACTCAATCCACTGAGCCACACCAGCCAGGGCAATTTCATTATTTTTAAGCCACACAAACCAACTATCCTTGTATTTACCTGATCTGCCTTCTGGTCCCAGAAGTCCCCAAAACATTTCTATTCTATTTACTTCTTTATTTCTTCACTTATTTATTTTTGAGAGAGGGGAAGAGAGGGAGAGAAACAAGGAGAGAAATATTGATGTGAGAGAGACATCAGCTGCATCTCAAATACACCTGGACAAAGGACGGAACCAGCAACCTAGGCATGTGCTCTGACAGGAATGAAACCAGTCACCTCTTTGTGGGACAACACCCAACCAACTGAGCCACACCAATCAGGGCAAAACATCTTTATTTTGAAGCTATCCCATAAATCATTTTCTAAAAGCATTGTATCTAGACATACACCTCCTACAGTGGAAGATAACTAAAGGCTTTTGAAAGCAGTAACATTTGATAAAATCTAATACAACATTAAATGCATATCCCCTGTGATGTAGCAAATCCAGGGATTTATCCTATGGACATACTTGTATGCATATAAATACAGTTTCAGCCCCGGCTTGAGTGGTTTGAGTGCCGGCCTGCAAATCAAAGGGTTGCAGATTCAATTCCCAGTCTAGGGCACACACCTAGTTTTTGGGCTAGGCTCCCAGTGGGTGGGCACATGAAAGGCAACCACCCATTGATGTTTTTCTCTCTCTTTTTCTCTCTCCATTCCCCTCTCTAAAAAATAAATAAATAAAATCTTTTTTAAAAAAGTTCAGCATAAGGACATGTAGAACTGCATTTCTTGCTATTATGAATAATCTAAATGCCCACCAACAGGAAACTGGTGAAATTACTGTTCATTCCTGGAATGGAGTACTATCAGCTGCTAGAAAGAATAAGATTCTAAGCTAATAACTACTAAATGTGGGTAAATGGGTATTGGAGGGTCAATTATACTATTTTCATAACTTTTACATAACACAATTCCCATAACCACAAGTTGGGAAAAAGGAGGCCTACCACTTACTAGGATAATTACCCCTATTTCACAGGATTCATGTAACGATTAAAGGAAGATATATTTGCATAACACTTAGAACCTCACCTAGTACAAAACTAACATTTAAGTAAGAACATTACTGTATGACATAGAACGATTTCCAGATGTGGAGGGGGAAAAAAAAAATCAAGAAACCAACAATATGCATAGTGTGTACATATGTATCTGTATAAACACATATATACACACACCGTGTAAAACATTACAAAAAAAGATATTAAAAACCTCTAGGAAATTAGATGGGAGTGAAAACAAGGGGTACTTGAGTATATGTACTGTTTAATTTTTTTACTAGTCCACATATTATAACCTTTTATAACCAAATGGTTAGCCTTTTATAGCTAAATGCATTAATACAGCTATGAAGAACAAAAATGTTAAAAAGGACTCAACTGCTCTTAATGTGCTGGAGTATAAGATGGCCAGACATCTGTGGAAAGAGTCCCAAACAAAAAATGTTTATGGTAACACTGTGGGGTAGTTTAAATAAACTTGAGATCTGGCCTGGTAGCTCTGTTTGTTAGAGCGTGTGCTAATACAACAAGGTGGTGGGTTCAATCCCGGTCAGGGCACATACAAAAATCAACCACTGAATATGCAACTAAGTATAACAACAAACAGGTGCTTCTCTCTCTCTCCCTTCCTCTCTAAAATCAATAAATAAAAATTTAAAAAAATAATAATAAATCAAAATCTACTTTCCACTTTAGTACTTTGCCCTCCCCTGTTCCCCTATAAATCAAAGAGACAACAGTGTTACCTCAGACACAAAAATCTCTCGTCAGCACCCTCCTTCCTTACAAAATTCTTTCTATGCAGAGAATCTGTACGATTCTCTATACAGAAAGAGAATCATTTATTATGGTGATAAAACAAGGCTAGGAGACCTACACTTGGTCTGAGCTTGAAGTCTCCTGGTCCTAATCACCTATTACAGAACCCGGAGACAAACTATTTTGCTTTACTGAGACCATGTACTTGAAATGAAATAGACTCTTCTGAAAATGTGTGATGTAATAAGAAATTTAAAAAAGCCATAAAAGGCAAACAAAGTGAAACACTATGCCCCCCCCCCCAAACACACCCAGAACTATCTGCTCTGTACTCAGATTATAAAAAAGAGATAGTTACACATCAACAGTTTTTTCAGGGGGTTCTTCCTCTTTGACAGGCAGTTCTATGGGCTTTGGTTCTTCTTCCTGAAAACAAATGAAACAAAATGGTTAACATATATCAAGAATAAAAACCTGTCAATAGAAGACTACGAGAACTTCAAAATGAATCAGTCTTTCAGAAACTTCATTCCCCCACTACTCTCCCCTAGCAAGTTATTAGCATTTAAATCTTCTAATGATTGATGTTAAGTAATGTGGCCAAGGTATTGGCACATTGCCAGTCCAGTCACTAACCTTTACTCTCTCCAACTCACCTCTGTTTCATCTCCCAGTACATCTTCTTCATTTGCCTCCTCTTCAGCTAAAGAATATTAAAATATCCGGGTCATACCCTGCTACATTACCATATTGATCATTGTACTCAGGCTAAAATTACAATCATTTTGTTTTCCCAAAATAAAATTCAATAATAAGTGTAGAACTAATGTTCATAAAATTTGTTCCACATGGAGGAAATAAAACTGTTTTCTCTTCCTAATATTAATATAAAGTTGAACTCCAGATGGAGAATACCTTTAAGATTTAGTGGTGGGGGAACATTTCTTAAAACAAAACCCAGAGGTAAAAGCAGTATGAGAAAAATTTCAAATTTTTCAAAACTAAGGAAAAACACCATGGAAAAAGAAACACATGACAAAGAAGATATTAGAGTCTAAACAAGGGAATAGTTACTAGAATATAAAAGAAAAGGCTTGCAAACTAACAAGTGAATGATGGAAACCCCAAGAGAATAATGAGCAAAGGAGAAACCCAAATAACCATAAACATGAAAAATGTTTAAACTTTTTAATAATTAGAGAAATGTAAATGGAAACAACCTACAGATTAGTAAAAATTAGGCCACTTGATAGGACAGATTTGTGAAGGCAAGACAAGAACCTTCATGCACTCTATAGATTATAGAGCAATTCTGTAAAGCAATTTAGCAGTGCTTAGTATTAGTACGTATACATTTATAAATAGGTATTTATCAGCAACCCAAAGTATGAATCCCAGAAAGACTCTCACACAGGAATATTAAGGAACATGAAATAAGTAGTTCAGGAAGCAATACAGATGTCTATCACTGGGTGAAATAAAATGTGGTGGGTTCTATATATCATAGAATACTACTCAGGAATTGAAATGAATACACTAGTTGACAACACAGGCACAGGCCACAAAGATACATCTTTAAAAAACAAACAAATGAAAAAACACAGCCTGGCTGGTGTGGCTCAGTGGATTGAGTGCTGGCCTGCAAACCAAAGGGTTGCTGGTTCTATTCCCAGTCAGGGCACATGCCTGGGTTGTGGGCCAGGTCCTCAGTAGAGGGCATGACAGGCAACCACACACTGATGTTTTCCTCCCTTTCTCTCTCCTTTCCCCTCTTTCTAAAAATAAATAAATAAATAAAAAATCTAAAAAAAAAAAAAAAAAAACAAACCACAGTACTTAGAGACAAAAAAATACACACCAACACATTACAACAGTTGTTTAAAGGAGATGGGATAAAAGGGATGGGAATAAAAGGGAATAAACAAGAGGTAAAGAGGACACTTGTACAACCTGGGATGACAGTATGCCTTAAATAAAGTGGTCTTTTTCTTTTTAACTTTTTCCTTAAATCCTCCCCTCAGCATATGTTTACTGATTTTAGAGAGAGGAAGGGAGCAGGAGGGAGGGGAGCTGGAAACAGATGTGAAGACAGAAACATTAATTAGTTGCCTCCCATACACACCCCTGACTGGGGATGGAACCTGTAACCTGTATAGGACGATGCTCCAACCAACTAAGCTACCAGGCCCAGGCAATGAAATTGTTTTTAAAAGGCGGAATTAGCCCTGGCTGATATGTCTCAATGGACTGAGTGCTGGCCTGCAAACCAGAAGGTCGCCAGTTCAATCTCAATCAGGGTACATGCCTAGGTTGTGGGCCAGGTCCCCAGATGGGGGAGTGCGAGAGGCAACCGGACGATATTTCTCTTGCACATCATGTTTCTCTTCCTCCCTTCCCCTCTCTAAAAATAAATAAATAAAACCTTCAAAAAATGTGGAATTAGAGAATGTCAGAACCAGAGGTTATCTAAGTTTATGAATTTCAAGGGTAGAGACACTTGTCCCACTTCATAGATCAGAACAAACAAGTGTAAAGAGTAAGCCATGTAAACAGTGACTATCCAAAGCTACCTAGTAAATTTCTGGCATAAGAGGAATCAGAATTCATATCTTCCAATTCTCAGGCTAATGATACTTGTTTTACCATACTTCCTTTTAAATAATTTGCTGAAATAAAATTGCAATGTATTAAAGGGGGGAAAGGAGTGCTTCTTTGGTTCGTAACCACTGTTCTGGATAACCAGGAGTTTTCTTGATATAGTTCATTAAGAGTTTATGTCACCAAAAACATAAAGGAAAAGAAGAAATCTTCCACATGGCAAAGCCTAAAAATCAGTACTCTTAGTCATACCACTCTAACTCCACAAAGCACTCACCATGCTCTTCAAGGTAGGCCTGGAGCCTGTTGATGAGATCTTGTTTTATTCCCTTAGTCTCCAAACCACGAGCAAGACACTCCTGCTTTAGTTCAGCAAGCTGAGAAAAAAAGAGTAAAACTTTTCCTTAGTTAATACAATGAACCTGGTAAAAAAAAGAAAAGACGTACAGCTGACCCTTGAACAATTCAGGGTTAGAGATGCTTACACCCCATGCAGTCAAGTATCTATGTATAACTTCTGAATCCCTCAAAACGTAACTACTGCCTTGGCCAGTGTGGTGCAGTTGGTTGGAGTATTGTCCTGTATACCAAAAGGTTGGGGGTTTGGTTCCCAGTTGGGGTGCATATGGGAGACAACAAATTGATGTTTCTCTTTCACATCAATGTTTCTCTTTCTCTTTCAAATTAATAAACATATTAAAAAACATAACTACTAATAGCCTACTGTTGACTGGAAGCCTTACCGGTAAAGTCAATTAACACTTACTTTGCATATTACTATATACTATATTCTTATAGTAAGCTAGAGGAAAGAAAATGTCATTAATAAAATAATAAAATACAATTACAGTACTGCATGTGTTTATCGAAAAAAATCCAAGTATAAGTAAACCTGAATAGTTCAAACCCATATTGTTCAAGGGTCAACCATAGTTCTCACAAAAAAGAAAAAGAGAGTTCAATTCCAAACAACTGCTCTTAATCCCACCAAGCCTCTAGGTCCATGAAGATAGTCCATTTTCTTCTAATATTCAATACGTAAGAGGACTTCCCTAACACATGATGAAGAACAAACATCCTAGTTTAATAAAATTCTGATCTATTCGTGCAACTACTTATTACAAATCTTTAGCATTTTTGATAGAAAAAAACTCCCCCCCAAAATTACTATACCAGCTAGTTAATGGAAAGAATTAATCTTTAAGTATAAAATCTAATTATCTAAAAGCAGATTCTTGTTATTCCAGACCTTTCACTGAAACCTTCCATAAATATGCATTCAAGTCCAACCACTGTAGAATTAGGTAAATGTGTTAGCCAGGTTAATGTCAATAATGAATCAATTAAAAGATCTGTGTCAAAATGGAAAAAATATATAAATGCATGCCAGAGTTCTGTTGAAGATTTTTAAAATCAATACTTGACTAAAGATATAACAGGTATGCTTACCAACTCTGCAGACAATAGGAGGAGGAAGAACTGATGGATTACTGACAGAAATAAGCTAAGGGTAAGGGGGGAGTTCTTTAGAGAGAACAATGAGTCAAAAATAAAGATTCAATTTAGGAAGAATAAAATATAAAGTACTGTAATAATATTCTAAATATAAATTGTTCTAAAACCAGATGAGTAAGATCTGGCTCAACAGTACTCAAAGGATAAAGACTTCAGGGTTTTAGATGATTACAAGTGCAGAAGGTAACAGTATGATTTGCTACCAAAGTAATTCTAGGTTATGGCTAACTGAAAAATAGAATATATTAATTGATGTAATAGCCTTGCTGAGCTCCAGATTCTTATTTAAGCATAATGATATGCTAACCCAAAAAAAACAAGGAAAAGGAAAGCTCCAGAAACCCTAGATACAAATCAGTGCACAAATGTCATAGATGTTTGCCCTGAAAGATTTTACTTGTTTTGAAGTATAGATTATAGATCAACCAGTAGAAGTATGAAAGCAGATTCCTATAGAAGAAAGAACTTTACAACTAAGAGAATATGCTGGGCATCTCTAGGTTTTCAACCAAGGGAGAATTTGAAAATGGAGAGAAGCAGCTTTTCTCCCTCCTTACAATAATTGGTTGGTTGGAATATTCAGTTGAGCAGGACAAGCAGGCAGAAATAATATAGGGTGGAGCAAAAGTAGGTTTACAATTGTGAGTATGTGAAACACAAAGTTTATGCTTATACTGTTAATAATTATTGTATTATTTTCCATATGAACAACTGCAGATCTACTTTTGCCCCATCCTATATGTAAAGAATTGACCTACTCAACAGGCCAATAGCACTCTCTATTGAAAACATGGTAGATAATCACCCTTTAAAAGCATGGAGTGGCAGGAAAGGGACTCCAACTGAAGAGGACTACGCAGAATGAGGGCCATGCAGGTTTCCCAAGCACCAATTCACTCCTTCAGCTCAAATGCCTGGAACCGCTTTGGAGAACCTAGTAGCTGAGGAACAGAAACCCTTCCAGGCTGACAATGACCTTCTGGGTGCACTCACAGGGGAAAACAATAACATTCTGTACAAACTGACTACAGCACTGTGGACACTGTGTCTTGGAGGCATTACCTACAGCCTTTACTGACCTTGGGTTTCCTTCCCCCACAAGAAGTGAGACCAAGAAGCCTGCAGACCTGAAGAATTTAAACAAGCACCAATACATGTACTGGCTTCTTGAGGAGGTTTGGGGTGGTGAGAGGAGTGTGGAGTGACTGCATAGGCTAGCATGGCCTCTGAAGCCAGACTACCTGGGTTTAAATTCCAGCTTTACCACTAACAGCTGTGTAAACTTAACTTCTCTGTGCCTCAGTTTCTCATGAAATGGGGATAAGACCTTTACCAAAGAGCTGTTATGAAGATTCAGTTAGTAAATATTTATAAAGCATTTACTGTAGAATAGTGCTTGGCACCTAGTAAGCATTTCAAAAGTGTTAGAAAAGGGACAATGGCCACTGCCTGGCCTCTAGGGTTTTGTCCAGGAGGAAACTGTCCCCTGGCACTCACCCTGATGCCAGACACTTCAGTTTCTCCCTTTGTGCCACTGGTGCCCCTTCCAGCTGCTGCCCCGGTGCTGGAGCCCAGAGGGAGTGAGTCTGCGGAAGTCCTAATTCCATTTCAGGCCCTTTAAGAGGAGACACATGAGAATCACAGTTTCTTCCACCACCCCAATCCCCAGTGATTTCTGCAGCCAGAAGTTATGGGGACTTATCTTCCTGACAATGTAACCCTGAGAGGAGTGTGGGTGCTCTGGTTTGGGGTTGGGATCCCCTGTTCCCAAGGTATACCTCCCAATTTTTATCCACCACATGTAGGTGTGAGACTGCCAGTTCTGCATCTCCACCTCTCCTAACCATCTGGATGAATGTGACTTTTTTAATTCCTTGGCTGTTGGACTTCCACACAACTCGATTTTCTGATGATTCTGGGTGATAGTTGTTTTGTATTTTACTTGTAATTTTTGCTATGTTTGTGCAAGGAGACGAGCCATGTTTACCTACATCTCCATCTTGACTGGAAGTCCTAACACTTTAAATATATCATTTTGTGTGTGTGTGTGTGTGTGTGTGTGTGTGTGTGTGTGTGTGTATTCAGGTGGTGTTGGTTGCTTCTCTGCAAAGCAATATAGCTTCTTTATTTTCTGTAACTCCTCATCTTCCTCAGAAGCTCAATTCCTCACCCCCACCCCGTTTAAGTAACATTTTTGGTAAATAGGTGACTCATCAACTTTCTAATAAGAAAGGTGTTTCCTCCCTTCTCCTTCCTTCCCAAAATAGTGCCTCGGCAAAGTTTACAAAAACTTCCAGATAAGAGGGAAATGTACAGTCAGAGATGGTTTTTGCACAGGGAGCTGATGTGATATAGTCTGATCTAGACTCCAAAGAGACAGAATGGTACAACTGGTTGTTTACATGTGTAGCATTCATCATGCTGACCACTGACCTTACTATTGCCTTTGGTCACTGAAATCTCAGCCCCTCACTGGTCAAATAAAAATGTTACATGTGGTTTTTACATATAATATTACTTTAGTTATTGTATGGTGGGTTCTGCTCATATACTGGGACATAAATTTCAAAAGGAATACAGATGAGTAAAAACACAAAACAGCTGAAAAAGTCATTTCTTCTAGCACATTTCATTTGGGTAAATTATGATAATAGTAAAACAAAAATCTTTTAAAGACTCAAATAATAACTTATAATATCAAAACTTACCCATTTTGATATGCATCTGACTTTAAAATATTTTAAAAGAGCATATTTAAAAAGCAACTTATATTGAGCCCTGGTTAGTGTGGCTCAGTGGATTGAGCACTGGCCTGTGAACCAAAAGGTCACTGGTTCAATTCCCAGTCAGGCACATGTCTGGGATGCAGACCAGGTCTCCAGTTGGGGGCATGCAAGAGGCCATGTTTCTCTCCCTTTCTCTCTCCCTTCTCCTCTCTCTAAAAAGTAAATAAATAAATTTTAAAAATAATAAAAAAATAAAAAGCAAGTTACATTGAGTTGTATAATATGTGAATTATATCTCAAGATTATTTTAAAAGACCAAGTTACAGAACACTATACATCATACTAACTTCAATGTCATTGTAAAAAAATAATGCACATGCACATATACACCTCTCACTCTAAGTGATGTATATATACAAGATGCCTGGACAAGAAACAGATAAGTTAACACTGGGAAGAAGAAGCTTGTTAAGGGCAAGCATAGGAAGAAAACTCTACCATATACACTTCTGTACCTTTAGAATTGTGAACTCGTACATGAATGACCTACTCAAAAATTAATTTCTAAAATTTTATTTTTCCAATATCAGTAAGGCATTTCCAATCTATCCAACCTACAGAGAAAAAACCAAATGATGGACTACATAATACAGTTAACATTAATCATTTACTTCCTTGTGATTTTTTTGTTTGATAGTCTTGAATTTTGATTCAAAGCTTTTTCATGTTATCTCTTGATATGGTTTGTGAACTCTTCGAGGGCAGAGACATTTCATATTATTTATAACATTTCACACAACAAATTCAAATTTATCTTTAAGTACTAATGTATGCTGAAGTTTGAATGTTATTTCCTCATTTAATCCTGACAACAACCCTAAGTATTATGATCTCACTTTATAAGTTAAGAAAATGAGGCTTAAAGAGATTCAATAATTTGCTTAAAAATCATATAGCTAGAAAATAGTGGTGCCAATATGCCAGCTCAGGTCTCTCTGATTTAAGCCCAACCTTAACTATCAAGATGCCAACAACTGCTCTCACATGCACACTCTATCTAACTCTCCATTTTCTTCTTAACCTCTTCTCCTCAGTCTCCTTGCTATCTCGCTAGCTCTTCTCTTACTCAACCCTGTAAATTCAAAATTTACTAAGATTCCTTCTTTGGTCTCATTCCACTTGTATAAAAGGCTTTTCACTTCCCAGAATCAAATCACTGGCAAATCAGCTCTAACTTCAAAATATATTTAGAATCTAATCCTTTCTGATCTTTTTTTCATCCAGATTCTTATAAAAATTCTGCAGCCCTTGCACCTTATTATATTATATTCTTAGCAGTCAAAGTGATCTTTTGAAAATTTAAGCCAGAACATGTCATTCCTCTATTCAAGACAGAGTCCTAACAATCACCTATAAGGCCCAATTATAACATTTTGCATGTGGTTCCCTCCTTGACCTCCTTCAAGTCTCTGCTGAAATATCACCTCCTCAATGAGGCCTTCCCTAGTCACCATATTTTAAATTGTAATACCCTTCTTCCCACTGTACTCCCTATCCTGCTTTCCTGTTTTTCTGTACAGAACTTACCACTATTTGACATACCATAAATTTTACTTTATTGTGCCTTCCCCCAGTAAAACATAAGCTCCATGACAGCAAGACTTTTGTCTGCCTTGTTCACTTCTATATCTCCAGTACCTATGTTAGTGGGCACATGGTAGGCACTATATAAATACTGTTTTCAATAAGTCCCAAACCTTTATTATCAGCTTTCAACTCTTGAGCAGGAGACCCACATTTCCAACTGACTACCAGATATCTCCAAGTATCTGTCTCAAAGACACTTAAGCCCAAAACTAAACTTATCTTCTCCACTGCACAAAATTGGCTTCTTCTCTTCCTCCCAACCTAGACTAAAGGTATCACTACTCAAACATGGAGTCATCTTTCATTACACCCACATCTAACTGATCTGTAAATACTTACAATTCTATATCCTACATTTTTTTAAGTCATTCCTTTCAAAGTAGCCACTACCTTACTTCAAGTCTTACTAAGTTTATTCACTTGGTAACTAGTTATTGGGTACCCATTGCCTGTCAAGAATTATTTTAGATACAGAAAAACAAGCAAAACAGAATTCTTGCCCACAGGAAGCTTACAACCTAGAAGGGAAACAAGGCAATCAGTGATCATGTACATAACACTTAACTGATATATATATTTTTTAAAGTAGAGTCCTATGAAGGCATTTAAAAAGTGGTCTGACCATGTGAATAGGGAGAACCTATCCTACCTAAGGGTTTCTTGGGTAGATGATTGACATCTGAAGGACAACTAGTAGTTAATTAGATGAAGATGTAGGGAATGGGGGTGGCAGGAGCAGGAGCAGTGCAGCCAAAAGCATGTTGTAAGTCCACAGGGTTGTCCAACCTGTAGCCCTTGGGCCATCCGTGTCCCAGGATGGCTATGAACGTGGCCCACCACAAAATTGTAAATTTACTTAAAACATTATGAGATTTTGTTGTGATTACATGTCACAATGTACTTAATGTGTAGTCCAAAGCAACTTTTCTTCTTCCAATGGGGCCCAGAGGTGCCAAAAGGTTGGACACCCCTGTAAGCATTCTGACTTCTGAGGCAAGTAGTGTGCAACAATTAAGAACATGAATTTTGGAGACAGACTGCCTGGATATGATCCACCACTCATTAGTTGTGGGACCTAGGGCAAGTTACTCAGTTAATCTCTCTGGGCTTCCATTTTTTTCTCCTGGTAAAATGGGGATATTAAAGGCATTTACTTTCCAGGGTTATTTTGAGAATTAAATGAATTTATGTAGATAGCTTTGACGAGTGCTTGCCACATAATATGTGTTAGCAATTAATGAACACATTCACACTGAGGAATGAGATAAAATAAAGCCAATATGGTTGGAGTGTGAGAAACTAGGCTGGAGAGATTGGCAGGTATAAAGTTAGATTTTAAGCAAGAAGTGAATAGTATAGTAAAAATATAACTGGTGAAATCTCTCCCTCTCCAGACCCCATCCTCCATATTGCCAAAGGACATACACGATCATCACATCAGCTCCTCCTTTCAAATTTCCAAAGGCTCCCCTCTCTCTGCATACATGACAAAAACCAAATGCCATACACAACTTAAAAGGCCCTTTTCAATTTCACTCTAGTCTACCTTTAATCACACAATTCACCTAGTTCCTTTTACACAAGGTCTTCAATCACCGACATATATGCATTTTATACTTCAAAATTACATGTCTCACTGTTTTCAACACTCTCAGCCTAGTACATGCTTCTCATTTTCTCCTCTACAATAGTCCCTTTTCTCACCATTGATTGGAAATCTGGTACTAATATAGTTCAAAGCAGTTTCACCCACAATTCAGTGTCTGTAACTGCGTTAGAATGATGGCATTTCTACAAAATCTTGAGAACTCTGCAGTTGATGTGGACTTCTCAATTGATATTCTTCCTTCCTGCTTCAAAGCTTGTTCCTTGTCTCTGAGATCCCATTCTAAAAGCCCAAAATTTCTTTATAAAAATGGAAAGGCTTTTTAAAAAAAGAGATAAAAACTTTAAGTCAACCTAAGTCAAGATTATTCCATCAAGATGAACAGTGGAACCAAACATTAACTGTCCTGGAAGTCAGAATTAAAGGCATGGATTCTTAACCAGAGGTCCAAGGACTCCTCAGAGCTACAAGGTAATTTTATGAAGCCTCTCAAAATGCATGCAAAGTACGTGTACATGCCTTTTTCTGGGGAGAGGGTCCATACCTTTCATCAGAGTTTCAAAGATATCTGTGACCTCCAAAATGTTAAGAAGTGCTCTAGAGAAAAAGCAAAGACAAGCAAAATGTGATTAAAAGAATGAATCCTTTTTAGGCTGTCAGGAGTGCCTCATGTTCTCTTAGACTATGACACTAGAAATCAGGTCAGAGGATATCATCCAATCAAAATAAAATTTAATATAGTCCAAACAAACAGATCTTTTATGGAAGGAGGAACTCCATAAACCAACACAAAATCCATAAAGGTAAGTCACAAGACTGGTGCCTTACTACAGGAGTTTCAAAAATGTGACTAACAGGAAGACTATATTTGATTTTCTATTCATATTTCCTTTTTATCACATTCATTCAAAAATTCCTTTTCTGTGTATGTTCTGTGACATACGTAACACTAGGGTAGCACATAATTTGCATAAGTATATACGCAATGGAAGTGGTTGACCAGTTTCTTTACTTTTGGTAATAGGAGACCACTGATATAATCCACTCATTTCAGTACCACCAAGTTAACAAAAGTCCAGAATGACACAAAAACGCCCTAGCACAGATTAGAATCCAAAAGTAAGACATTCATTAGCTTTCACAAAAAGTCTAATTGATGTCAACTAAAAAGTAACTAAAAGAATCTCTCCCTACCATTACTCTTACTTTTTTTGTGTTTTTAAGCTCAGCAGGCTTTAAAGGGTCAGTTTGCAACTTCAACAAAATCAGCCTGGTTTGTCCAAGGTTTCCAGGATGATGTGATCAAAACATTTAATGGGAAAACTACTTGTGAAACCACATATGGACGCGATATTCTCATAATTCACCCTAAAAGAAACTCCTCTTTTCTCCCAGGAAAAAAATAATCTAAATGTAAGAAAGCTATGAGGGTTCCCTAGACACAACTTAAAATAGGTGACTGAGAGTGTCACCCAGTGGTGATATCAAGAGATGCAGGGTACATACGTGAGATGAAATGGGGACAGAGATAACTCTAACCTTGGAAATGCTTTTAAAATATCACAGCTACAACTGAGTTGTCTGTATTACCGGCAGGGAGTCGGAGGCGAGTGGGGGTGGGGGAGGAGCCTGGCCGGCAGAGAACCGCGTGAGAGAACTTGAAAAACTTTAAATCCAAGCTTTCTGTGCCTTCATTAACTCTAAAAGGCTCCTTAAACCCAAAGTGTCTATGGGGAGACCTATATTCTGAGGCGCCTCCTTAAGTTTCAAAGTCACCCCCTGGAGGCGTAACCCCATCTTTAAAAAAGTGGGGGGAGTGGAAATATTTTCTGGATCATGTTTGAGACCTAGATAGACAGAAATACACAAAGATGACAACCTCTGCTAACGGGAATCTCAGCTTGGGATAACAGATAGGAAAGCATCAACCCAGGTAAGGAAAAGGGGTGCTGGGTCCGGCATGGGGCAGAGAGGAGGGAACCACTGACGTAATGCATCTCTGACGAAAAACAAGAAGAGAACAGGTTGAAGGCACTTACACAACCCGGTGGAAGTGACGGACGATACACCGATGAAGAAAAGAGCAGAAATAACAAGTACAGATACAATAAAACCGTGAGGAGCATGAGAAATTAGGACAGGCGTAGTGAGGAGGAAGGGAGGCACAAAAGAACTACAGGGGGAGCCGGTAAAAAGTGGGGAAGCCTACAAGGAGAATACGTAGGAACAGCAACAAGCCACTCCGCAAAATTCAGTCCCCAGAAAAGTTCAAGCCAGCCCTTTCCCCCGTTCACAGTACCTTCAGTTTATGCAGCTCTACCGTCTCCGCCGCCATCTTGTTACCCCTCTACTCCACAAGGTCCCCTCCCGCTGCCTCCGCTTCCAGGAGCTCCCGCCTAGGAGCAGACAACCACGATCAACCAATCACTGCCACTCTTACTAGCACCTCATACCATTCACTCTTCCCATTAGTCAATAGCTGGCGTCCCTCTCACAACTTTAGGCAGCTTTCCCCACCTTTCTCAAAAGGTGGGGCGGGGAGTGAGGCGGGTTCTGCACCTTCCGAACGACGGAAAGGGCAACCAATTGTGGGTCTCCATTGCAGACCGCCAGCCAATGGGTGGCGCCAGCGCTAATTCTGTTTCACCAATAGAGAGACTGCAGACGGGCGAGGGTGGCTGCTTCCTGGAGACCACAGGTGTTGAAGCGAGCGCTGTGCCGGTAGCCGACCGGCTTCTTAAGCTTGCAGGTAGGGGCTTCCGAGAGACTGGAAAGGGGTGCTGAGGAAAAAAATGGTGGGAGGCCTAAGGGGAGGCGGGCGGTGAGCAGCGGCGAGTTAAATACTAAGAGAAGAGCGCTGAGGAGAGCCGATTTACAAGGAGCATGGGGCAGACTCAGGATTAGGGTTTAGGAAATTTTCGGTAGAGAAGGGCGGGCAAGAACTGCTTCCTAACTAAACATAATCAACTTTGACTAGCACGATTTTAAGGAGCCAAGTTGAGACGAAATGAGCCGCCCCTAGATTTGGGCCAGGACTCCATTTGGAGGCGCTCAACTCAAGTTCCTTCGTAGCTCAACCCAAAACTCTGGGCAAATTCTTTAAATGCCCCACGCTTGAGAAAAGGGATTGGGGTATTGACTGCTTACATGCTAAAAGGATGAGAGGCAAAAGGGGCAAGCCCCGGATTAAAGGTGGGGTTTGGAAGTAACCTTACCCCCTCACCCCTCCTTAATGAATCCTTGTTTCCCATGACCCTCTTCTGGAATGCTGGGTGTAAGTAACTTCATGCTTCCTCATTAACTTCTTCAGGAAAAAAGTGAGATACTTCTGTTTCCCTTGCTCCTTGAAACGGGTGCCTGACGCCTAGACTCACTCCTGCAAGTTACAGCTGAAGTGTAAGAATCAGAGTATCTGATTACCAGATCCTTAAGACGTAAAGTGGACTCTTCTGACCTTTTTTCCCCCCCAGTCTTCAGTTTTTCCTTTGTGCATGATGGGGATGTGCTTTCATTCCCAATAGAGTTCAGGAGATTTGAGCTACTCAGAAGGCAGTGTTGGGAGAAAAAAATCAAAGTGGGGTTGAGGGGAAATTGAGGTAGACTCCTGCCTGATCCCCCACTGTGGTAGGATGAATGTGGGGGTGGCACACAGCGAAGTAAACCCCAACACTCGAGTGATGAATAGCCGGGGCATCTGGCTGGCCTACATCATCTTGGTAGGACTGCTGCATGTGGTTCTACTCAGCATCCCCTTCTTCAGCATTCCTGTCGTCTGGACCCTGACTAATGTCATCCATAATTTGGTGAGCATTAAACCACACCCTATACCCACCCCAGGCCTTTCCCCAACCAAAAACAAAATAAAACCCCCAAATATTTGGGGATACTCATCTTCCTTTGAGGATCTTAATTCTTGGGCTAAAGAACTACATTCCGCCCCTTTAAACTGCTCTCTTCTCTCCTTCCAGGCTATGTATGTCTTCCTACATATGGTGAAAGGGACACCCTTTGAGACCCCTGACCAAGGAAAGGCTCGGCTACTGACACACTGGGAACAGATGGACTACGGGCTCCAATTTACCTCTTCCCGAAAATTCCTGAGCATCTCTCCTATTGTACTGTGAGTCCTAGGGGAGATATGGTGAATACTCCAAGAGCCAGGTACAAAGGCCTACAGGGAAGCTTTAAAAATGTAGAAGGCAATAATCAAGCATTCCTTGCTGCCTCTTTGATAGTAGGAGAATGGAGAAGGGACTGAGAAAACCAAGTAAAACCAAATGATTTTACATTTCCAAAAGATGTGAATAAATCAAGGCAGAACTGATGTAAATCTGTGAAAACTTTGTGGGGAGTGGAATCAAAGAGGACTTAACAGTTATACAGGCTGAAACTGCTTCAGCTGCTATTTGTCATATGTCTTCAACAATTAAACACACTAACTATAACAAATCTCCAGTTAGAGGTGCTGATTATCTCCCCAATCCCTAGGATACTTTCAGATATCCTAGGACTGGTCATTTAAAATATAAGAGAAAGTCACTGGGAAGGCATGAATATGGATAGGGAAGGCCAATTTCATTCACCCTATTTCTTTTCTCCCCAGCTACCTCCTAGCCAGCTTCTACACCAAGTATGATGCTGCTCACTTCCTCATCAACACAGCTTCATTGCTTAGTGTACTGCTGCCTAAGTTGCCCCAATTCCATGGGGTTCGTCTCTTTGGCATCAATAAATACTGAAGGATGGGGCTGGGGACGACGTTGGAACAAAAGGCTGTAACATCTTTCTCCACACTGTCTTCTGTATCTTGAAGTTTGAGAACTATACAACCATTCCCAAACTCCCAGGAAGAAAGCAGAATAGAAAATGGGGCTCCCTGGGCCTAGCCCTGCTAGGAGTAGGTTTAAGTCAGGAAAGGCAGGTAAGGTAAGAGACTAAAACAACTCTCCTCCATAGGAGGCCATGTTTGGGCAGCTTGTTTGGTGATTAAGTATTTCCATATCTTCCTTTATACTTACTTTATAAGTATTTTCCTTATAATAAAGGTTTGGTTTTTTTTTGTCAGATATGGCTACTATGTGGTCAGCACGAAAAAGTAGTGAGATGTCCTTACAAGGCAGGGGAAGAAGATAGAACAGTGACTTATTGCACAAACCTTCTCTAAGTGTTTTGTATCCCCTCTTCCTTGGTTTAGTAGGAGTGCCCTTCACTCTCAACTAACACTAAGAGAAAGGATTCTCAAATGTGTAAAAGGATACCAGCTATTATAAGAGCAAAGAAGAGAGGGAAAAAAATGTGTTGCCAGTTATATATTTATAGAAAGATAATTCCTGGCTTTAAATAGATATGTACATACAAATATGAACAAACTTAAAAAAATACAAACCCTTGGATCATAAGGAGGCTGCCAGGATCCCCTTTATCCTTCCCTTCGCCCAAGAGCAGAGGGCATAAATTTGATTTTTAAAAATTATTAGTTCTGGCCATCCCTGCAGCAACCAGCATAAATTTGGGCAGTTGCCCACAAGGTGAAAGAAAAAATTCAGAGTTCCCACTCACTGAACTCTATGTATCTCCTATAATTAGGGCTACACATTTTCTTGTACTGTCTCTTAACTAGTACATTGGGCTAAGGGCGGGGGTCCCCTCCTGAAATGGGTCAAGAAATAAAATAGACTTGTAATTTTAAAAAAGGGAAGCAAGTGTCATTTGCTGTAGAAGCAAAAGACAAGACAAAGGCATATAGACACCAGGGAAATACCCAGTTCCCACCCTGCTTTGGGAGGTAACATCCAGTCCAGGTCCATGCCCTAGGTTCTTTGCTCTAGCCACCCCCTATTTCTTTGGTATTGTCAGAAGACAAGATTCAATTCCTGGGTGCTGGTGGAGGAGGAAGAGTGGTTCCGGGGCTTCCAACAAGTACTGAGTGAACTATTTGAGCTTAAAATTTTCCCTTTTTTAAATAATTAAAAATAAATCAAACTCCATCCTGTGCTGTACACAGCCCTTTTGACTCCCTGACATTGATTTAAGGAAAGAAGAAAACAAGTGTCAACGTTGGAAGGGCCTCCTCACTTTCTTCCGCCTCTTCGGTTTGGCTTCTCCCTTGGGTACTGTGCTGTTGGGCTTGGAAGCTGCAGTGGCCCCAGAGCCAGAATGAGGAGCTGCAAAGAAGTTCCCATTGGACATCTGTCTTGGGGGTACTTGAAAGATCCGGCTCAAAAAGTCCTGAAGGTGAGCAGGAGGCGCATCTGGGGTGGCTCTGAGAGGAAAACAGAATAATGAGATGAGAGATTTAAGAGTCCAATGGTCACCTATTAATACTTAATTTAAAGATATATCCTGCCCTGGCTGGTGTGGCTCTGTGGATTGAGTGCTGGCCTGTGAACCAAAAGGTCACCAGTTCAATTCCCAGTCGGTACATGCCTGGGTTGCAGGCCAGGTCCATGGTAGGGGTCGCTCAAGAGGCAATCACACATTAATGTTTCTCTTTCTCCCTCCCTTTCCCTCTCAAAATAAATAAATCTTAGAAGGAGAGAAAGAGGGGAGAGGAGGGGAGAGGAGGGAAAAAGGAAAGGAAAAGAAAAGAAAGGTAGATAGAAAGAAAGATACATCGAGCCAGTTACCAGACTTCTTAAAGGGTGAGACATCTAGGTATCCTAAACATCAGCTCATTTGAAACCATATTCAGAACTAGAATAGTGGGTATATTATTGAAAGAAATATGACCTACCTCTGTCGCCCACTGGTGCCTGGGATCCGAGAACCAAATGAGATGTGATAGGGGACTCTGTGAGTATCTGGGGAGATTACCACACGCTGGCATCCAGCCCACTCTACAAACATGAGAAATAATTACCAATACATCACAGTTTTAAGTATACATGAGCCCATATTTCTAGAGAACAGAAGTGTACCTGTTATATCATACACCTTCCCATCCATCAAAGCAAAGTAGGTGATCTTGAGGCCCAACATGCTTGACTCTGCCCAAAAGTCTCCTTCTTCAGCAGGATGCAGCCTATTACACTCAGCACAGTATCTGGCATTCTTAGGTTCCCGGTCCATTTCAAACCTTCTGCAACCCAACAGGAGGATAATTCTTTAATAATCTGTCAAGCCTGTGATGTTGCTATAGTCTCATTGGCTATAGTCTCATATAGTCTATAGAACGTGGCTGAACGTTCTAAAATTCTCAGTTGTTATATATGCCTATGCATACCCTGCTCTCAACCTTCTATCATAAAGCTAAGAAGTATCTTTTTTTTCTTATTATTTCAAATCTCCAGTCTTTTGACAATGTGGCAGAAGTGGAAACCTAAGGTTTTTTTTTTACTTACCATCTGTATCCCATAAACTACCAATGAAGGTAGTTTCATACCTATGCTTTCCCTGGCATCGGCTGCACATCATAGTATTCATTGCCTCTTTGAGGTCATCCTGCAGCTTGGACAGAAACTCATTCACTGACCGGCTCAGCTCATTCTCTGCCATTCGTTTCCTAAGGGAAGAAAGGCTTTGTAAATCAGAGGGTATTGAGCAAGGGATAAAAGGAGACAGATCTACTGGCCTCTTAAGGCCTGGGCCAGCTAGAAAGACAAGCAACCTCAATTCTCTCCATTTCAGAGAGCCTCCACCCCCAAGTCCAGGGACCTCTGCTATTGAAGATTATTCTTTTATCCCACCTGACAACTTCCGACCTCCAACTTACATCTCATACTCCTTCCTCCTTTCAGGGTTACTGACAATGTCCCAAGCTGCCCGCAAAACCTTGAAGGCCTCCTCAGCCCGAGGATGATGATTTTTGTCAGGATGAACCTATCAAGACAAAGATTTCATCACAGACCCATTCCACCCATCTCCCCATCTTGGGTCAAAACTTCACATCAAATGGCTCTCTTCCACCACCCTTTTGGAGAGTCAATATAGCTTAATAATTAATTGGTCTGGCTCTAAAGACAGATCTCAGTTCAAGTCCCAGCTCTGTCACTATTAGCTACATGACCTAGAATACTTTATCATGATTATTGGGAATATTAAATGAAAATACATGTGGAGTAGGTAGCAGAGAATCTACTAAGGTAATCCACCATCCTAGTGCACCTGGGATTGTCCCAGTTTTAGCACTGAAGTTCGTGTCTCAGGAAACCTCAATTTCAGGCAAACAGGGATGGCTGGTCGCCTGACCGGGCACATACGTACTAAGCCCTCACATTTTAACTTTACTACCAGTTACAAAGTAAGAGTTCCAAAGATAGTACATCCTCAAACACTTTTCTAACTAGAAAATCCTCATATCTACTCAAAACTTCCTGCAAGTTTCCCTTTCTGTCCCAGAAATAAAATAGCTTATCATGACACAGGGTTTTTACCCACTTTTCAGCCTTTTCTCCAAGACAAATAATATCCTTTCTCCCTATACTTCCTTACTGTTCCCGTCCTCACTCCCCAAAAAACAGTGATAAAGCTAGCCTCTTAATTGATGTCAAATAAGCAGAATGCTGTTAAATCTCATATTCCCAAGCATATAGAACATCCCTTTGGTCATGGTCACTCTGGCGCTTAATAAGAGTGGTGAGAGGTTCTATTAAAGAAGCCTACAGACATTCTGATCCAGAACAAGGGAGAGTTATGGGGTGTGGGGCAGGTGTGTGGAGGATCAGGGAACATTATCTCTACTCCAAGAAAGTAAGTTGAAAATGAGATATTTTTAGAAGAATGATACTCCCCAAGAGAGGATATCTGCTAAAAAATAAAAAGGTGAGAAAAGAGCTTCACTATTAGTAACAATCTGAGTGTACGCAGTTGTTCCCCACTCTAAGAATATCCCAGGCTACCAACTAAGGGGTATGTATTTCCCACAAACTAGTCTTCTGGTAAGCTGAATGGTTAACAGAAACCATGGTTGCTCTGGTGTCAACTGTTGAGGTAATCTGCATACTATATTTTACCAGTCCAGTTCCATACATTCAGTCAAACAGACCTCCTGTGCAATTTACACACATTACTTAATAAAGTTTCACTTCCACAGAAATAGCGATAACAATCATCTAAAAAAAGCAACCTAATATCAACTTCTAATAACAATTTAATGGTATGCTTTTATTATATCATTTCTCTCAACAATGCGGTGCATCACAATTCTCACCTGTAACTACTTTTCTCAACGAAAGCAACCAGGTTTTTATGTATGACATATGTATTCACATATGTATTCACGTATCTATGATTTCTGTTCCCCTTTCCTTCCCTTTGCCATTCTGGCTTGCTGGTCTTAAAATAGCTTGTTTTCTTTCACCTGGTCCTGGAATAATCATATGCGCTCCCTGAACTGTCCCACACCAGGTCCACACTCACCTTTCCAGGACAGATTATAGGATTTCCTTGTGTTCAAAAAAACCCCTCAATTGTTCAGGGAGAGGAACTGATAAGCTTTCTGATTGGATCTCTTCACCCTAGTCAAAGGAACTTCATCTTGATATTTCAGGGTGAGTCCAATACTGCCCAATTTATCATGTTCATTTCTTTTCATTTAAGAAAAAGAATCTCATGACAAACTTGAAGGGAAAGTCAGATCCCATAGTAGAGATGAAAAAGGTCTTTTATGACTTTTCTAAGAATTAAAGTTACTCTGCAGCTTAAAATTGACCTTCTCCACCTTCTCTTTATTTTACTCTCCATAAAATTACAAAATAAAATATAGGAACAAAAGAGGGACAGGAAACAAGGGAAGGATACTCACCATCACTGCCAACTGCCTATAGGCTTTCTTCAGTTCAACATCTGATGCTGTGGCTTCAACCCCCAACACATGGAAAGGGTTTAGCTCATCTTCAGGAACCCCAGCCATGGTCAAGAGTCTAGTCACTTCCTCTTCAGGCTGGCAGCAGCGACCACTAGCTACAGGTGCATCCCCCTGCCTATTAGTCCTCTGTTTGACCCAAGGCAACTCCAGCCAACTCCACTGAACCATTCTTACAAGCTGCTGCCATGGCCTGCTATCTCTCAGCAGAATCAGGCAACGCTGCAAGGTGGGAGATTCCAGCCAAGCAAAGAGCCAGG